AAAAACGTGACAATGTCAGCAAATTACTACGTGGCTGCACTGCACTGGTCTCCAGGTGAGGCAGGCGCACCTCCATCTCACTCAGCCATTCACCTGCCGATATGACACATTGGCTCTCTGAGCCGCTTGCCTCCCTGAAAAAAAAATTCCCTCCTCTGCCTTTCATCTAATGATCTTGGTTAACAGGAAATCCTCCAGAATGCTGCAGAATCTGTGTCTGCTTTTCTCCTGAGCGGTAGGTCTTGTGTGAGTGCGTGCATTTGTGCACGGGCGAGTGTGCACACGCTCGTTAACAACTCGTTTTTAGACTGAGGAACTCCGACAGCACACGGGGGAACACACAACAGCATGACAGCTGACCAAAGTGCTACCCAAATAGGAACAAAGAGGCTCCATGTGCTTTTCTGGGGTTGAGTCGCGGGGACAGCAGCCTAGGGAGGCCCAGACTTCCCTCTACCCAGCCATTTGGGCCAGCTCTTCTGGGAAAATCCCAAGAGCCGTGAGACATTGTCCCTCCAGTGTGTCCTGGGTCTTCTCCCAGAGAACCTCACCAGGGAGAAATCATAATCGGATGCCTGAGCCACCTCAACAGGCTCCTCTCGATGTGGAGGAGCAGTGGGTCTACTCTGAGCCCCTCCCGGATGACCAAGCTTCTCACCCTATCTCTAAGGGAGAGCCCAGACACCCTGCGGAGAAAACTCATTTCGGTCGCTTGTATCTGTGATCTCGTTCTTTAAATCACTACCCAAAGCTTGTGACCATAGGTGAGGGTAGGAACGTAGATCCACCGGTAAATTAAGAGCTTCACCTTCCAGCTGAGCTCTCTCTTCACCTTGACTCACTGGTACAACACCCACATCGCTGCAGATGCCGCACCAATCCATGTGTCGATCTTGTTATCCATTTTTCCCTCAATCGTGAACAAGGCCCCGAGATACTTAAGCTCCTCCACTTAGGACAGGACCTCATCCCTGACCTGGAAAAAGACATACCCTAATGCCAGCCACACATAAATAAAAAAAAAGCAACATTATACGTGATTCAAAAAATAGCAACAAAATTAAATAGCAGCTTAACATTAGATGTTATATTGTACAACGCTTGTATGACAGCACGTAACACAATAAAAATGTAAAAATTGTTTTAGAAATAACAGCTTTAAGTAAATTTACGCACATCATTTTATAAATGATCATAATTTTCTTTCACTCACAGGGTATTGAAATCAGTGAGAACAACATTGAAGCATGTCATGTTTTATCAAGTAGGAATACGAAGGGAAAAGTGTCTGTGTTAATGAGATTTGTGAGCAGAAAGATGAAAAATTCACTCCTTAAGCAGGCAAAAAAGTTGAAAGGAACTGAGGTCTATGTAAATGAGCATCTGACAAAGTATAATGCAGAAATTGCAAAGAAAGCCCGTTTTCTGAGGAAGCAGAAAAAGATCCAGGGTACCTGGACTGCAAATTGTAAAATTTTTGTTAAATTGAATGGAACTCCAGAAGAAGCAAAGATGCTGGTGATTAAAAGTTTAGAAGATTTGGATCAATTTCAGTGAAAGAGATGATGGGATAGAGGAATGGAATGTGTAGATTAAAATATGAGGAAAATGATATTTCATTTAGGACTTGATCTTTCAATGATATTTGGATTTTCAAACATGATTAGTGTGAGGGAGATTAGAAATTTACAATTAACAGGATGACTAATGAACTACATATTGACACAAATATAGGCTGTAAAGATAGGTTTTGGGATTTTGACAGCAATATTGATCCTGATTACAATTTCTTTAATAATGAAATACATGAATGTAATTATTACAATGAAGAACAATTCAATATAAAGATGAAGTCAGAAAATAGTTTGACAATGGCTCATTTCAATAGCAGAAGCTTATATGCAAATTTTGACACCATCAAGGAATATATAGCACAATTAAAGAAACCATTTTCTGTCATTGCCATATCAGAGACATGGATAACATATAAAAAGGAAGGAAATTTTGAATTGCATGGATATGACTTTATCCACCAAGACAGAATAAGAAAAAAAGGAGGAGGGGTGGCACTTTATATTGACAAAAATCTTAATTACAAAAAAGCAGAAATGATGACGACTACTATAGAGGGAGTGATGGAATATGTAACTGTAGAAATAAGCATGAAAAAAAGAACATATTAGTAAGCTGTATATATAGAACGCCAGGCTCTAAGATTGAAACATTTAAGAATAAAATGGAGGAGATGTTTACAAATTTGTACCAGAAGGGAGTGTTTATTTGTGGAGATTTCAATATAGACTTGCTAAATCCAAATAAAAACAAAAGTACAGAGGAATTTATTGATATAATGTACAGTCTAGGTTTATTTCCATTGATAACCAGACCGACTAGAATAACATTACACTGCACTACTTTAATAGATAATATATTCACTAATATAACGGAAGAAAAGGTGGAAAGTGGGTTATTAATAAGCGATATGAGTGACCATCTACCGGTTTTTGCTTCTTATGACTGTCATTACAAAAATGAAACAGAAGAAACTAACTATATGTATAAAAGAATGAAAACAGAACAGAGGTTAAATAGTCTTAAAAATGATCTATTAGAACAAGATTGGAATATTGTTTATGAAAAAAATGAAGTAGACCAAGCATATGATACCTTTTTAAATATATTTAAAAGTCAATTTGACAGAAACTGTCCAGTAATCAAAAATATTCAGAGGAATAAGTATAAAGTAAAACCGTGGATGACAAAAGGACTGCAAAATGCATGCAATAAAAAGAACACACTTTACCGAGAATTTATAACAAACAGAACTACAGAAGCAGAACAAAAGTACAAAAGATATAAAAACAAACTCATAAATACAGTGAGAAGGTGTAAACGTGAATATTTTATTAAAAAGTTAGAACACAATAGAAACAACATAAAAGGCATCTGGAAAGTATTAAATGGCGTAATTAGGAAAGAGACAGGGAATAATAACTATCCACAACATTTTACAGAGAGAAAAAATATTATTACAAACATGAATGAAGCAGTGGATGAATTCAACAAATATTTTGTAAGCATAGGATCTAAATTGGAGGAAAAAATAATAGTTGATGAGATACAAATGGATGCAGAGTATGTTGAAAGAAATAAAAATTCTGTTTTTTTAAGAGCAGTTGATGAGAAGGAGATTTATGATATAGTTAGGAATATGAAGAATAAAACCAGTACAGACTGGAACGATATTGACATGAAAACACTGAAATGTGATCTTAATGAGTAAATAACAGAATGCATTGACAAAAAGAAGCATGCAATAGGGTTGTTTTTAGATTTGAAGAAAGCTTTCGATACAGTAAACCATGACGTATTGATGAGAAAAATGAAAAAATATGTTTTCAGGGGTATAGTATTGGACTGGATAAAAAGTTATTTATCAAATAGACAACAATATGTGCAAATAAATCAACATAAATCAGGACTAAGAGAGATACAATGTGGGGTACCTCAAGGATCAGTCTTAGGACCTAAACTGTTCATAATGTACATAAATGACATTTGTAGGGTTTCACAAGTATTGAAGTTTGTATTGTTTGCAGATGACACAAATGTTTTTTGCTCGGGTGTGGAATTGCAACAGGTCCTGGATGTGGTCACACAGGAAATAAATAAATTAAAAAAATGGTTTGATGTAAATAAACTGTCACTAAATTTAGAGAAAACAAAATGTATGTTCTTTGGTAATGAAAGCAGATACAATGAATTAGATATAGTAATTAATAATGTAAAAATTGAGAGAGTATATGAAATAAAATTTCTTGGGGTGGTCATAGACAGCAGGATCTGTTGGAAGCCACACATCAAATATGTTAGGGGGAAGCTTGCACGGGGCATTGCTATATTGGGGAAAGCTAAGTATATTTTTAATCAGAAAGCACTTTATATGTTATACAATACGATGCTACTGCCATATTTGAGCTATTGTGTAGAGGTCTGGGGAAACACGTACAAAAGTAATTTACAAACAATAACGGCAATGCAGAAAAAGGCTATCAGATTAATAACAAATGCAGGATATTTGGATCACACAAATGAACTTTTTATTAAAACACGGACAATGAAGTTCCAGGACTTGGTTAAATACAAAACAGCACAAATAATATATAAAGTAAGAAATAAATTAATGCCTGATAAAATACAGAAACTGTTCACAGAGAGAGAAGGAGGATATAACCTGAGAGGGACACTAAACTTAAAGATCCATAAGTTTAGAACAACATTAAAACAGATGTGCATCACAATAATAGGGGTTAAATTACGGAACAATTTAGAAGAAGAAATCAAAGTAAGTACAAATATAAATGTGTTTAAAATGAATTATAAAAACATTCTGAACAAGTATATAGTGGAAAATCGATGATGTATGTGGGTGTCCTTTATTCTAAGGAAAAGTAAATTGTATGAATTGTAAAAAGATGTTTTTTTTCTTCTTTTTTTTCCATATGGTTTGGTGGTTTTTGGTTTTTGGTTTTTTTGGTGACTTGTACCATTTTGTTTGTTTTAATGTAGGTTTTGTGTTAGATTTAGTAAACAAGTAAAAATTACTTGTATAAAGGGGTAGGGATATATAAGTTTCCACTTCAGCCTACTCCTTTTCAAACAGAGAAGAAGGGATGATGATATGTATTTTTTCAGTTTGTGGTGTTTAAAAAAAGTTATGTATGTTTTCTTTGTTTGAAATAAACTAAACTAAAAATATATGTGAACAAATGAGACCTCTGCTTGTTTGCATCTTAAAATTGCCAATTTGTGGGTGAGGACACAAAGCTTTGAGTCAGACAAACATTTTAAGCAAATAAAGGGTTTTATTAGAAAAGGTAACCCTAAAGATACTCCTATGGTGTGAAGGTGCCTGCTACACACACCTTCACAGGTGAGCACAATGAAGCTGGTTGGAATCAGAGGGAAAACACCTAACAGTGGAAGATCTCTCCCAGTCATCTGCTGGTGTGAGACATAAAACTAAACTAAGATTTTAACTGGACGTCAGCTATGTAGACCTGGTGATGTCATGTTCTCCAACATACCTTCAAATGCTGTTTACTTGGAGATCACGCAGCACATAAGAGCTTCTGTGCTGTTAATCTGGCCACAGCTGGGAAACTGGAGTGATGTTTCAGTGAGTGTTGATATTTAGTCTGTGCTCAACGCGGAACACTTCTCGTAACTGCCGTGGGAGGCGTGGTAGCTGGATGAGTGCTGCCTTGTTAAAGGCGTTGGTTCCGTTGTGGAGTTTGAACTGAGACACAAAGTTCGGTCAACATGCAGGTAGGTGTCCGAAGAAGAAGATTACTGAAGATCTTAAAATCTTACTGAAGGTTTTGTGCTAAATGTTCATTGTGCTTCTGTTTGTTTAAATTCTTATTGGTATTTGTCACATTTAGGTCAAAATGAAGGGTGTGTTTGGTTACGCTGGGCTGATTTTAATCCTGTTTTTGAGCCATTCAGCTCTAGCTTTGGTAAATAAGGATTAAAATGTCTTACTTAAGAACATTTAAAGTGTTTTTTTTTTACATAAAATCTCATGTAAAAACTGTTTTTGCTTTCAGAAAAAGCCAAAAGTGGATTCTGTTCAAGGTAAGGAAGCTGAAGTTACTGCCTGACGTGGTGTTTGGATCTCTTCTCACTCTTACCTGTGTTGGTTTAACCATCAGGAACGGACTGCAGCCAAATTAAAGCTAGATCTCCAGAAGCAACTAGTGGAGTTTATGTGATCAGACCTGCTGGAGTCAAAGCAAGTTTCAAGGTAACAGACCTGTCGCTCTTAACTCAGTGTTTGAAACATCAGTCAGAGCTAGAGAAGTGAATTCATCAGATGGATGGAGGATGATGGAATTCTGCTGAAGCATAGATCTTTTAAACAACCACATCTCACCGGAGGGGCGAGGTCACTTTCTATTTGCCATTTGATATTTAACACTATCTCAGCCATTTTGAAGCATTTCTGTGTGAAAATTACTATAAAACTTTCTTAAATGGCTTCTGATCAGGGAAATGGAGTCGTTCAGGATTGATGCGCTAACAGCTAGTATAAATGCAGCCAAGACTGATACATGCTTGTATGGCCTTCTGCTCAGGTGCACTGTGAGATGCTTCCAGATGGAGGCTGGACTGTGTTTCAGAGACGCACTGGAGGACAGGTGTCCTTCAACAGGAAATGGGCAGCTTATAAAAATGGATTTGGAGATTTGAATAGTATGTACGATCATTCATAGCTGTTGTGCAAAAAAACAAAACAAAAAAAAACTAGATTTTAGATTTTATAAATGAAAGTGTCTTATATGTGGATCTTATTCCCTGTGCTCTGCTCATTTCCTCAGAGGACCACTGGCTTGGTCTTAATAATGTTTTTGTTATGACCAAGAACAAATCCAAGAAGTGGACTTTAAGGGTGGACCTGTGGGACCATGAAGGTGGCACTGCTTTTGCTGAATACAACAACTTCAGACTAGGACATGAGAAGAATGCTTACAAACTGAACGTTGGAAAATACAGAGGAAACGCAGGTATGCCAGTGCATAACTAGTTATTTTATATTTTCCACTTCTGTCATCACAGCCCTCAACACTGGTCAGATTATTCAGCTCTGTGTGTAATTAGATGGTCTTTGACTGGATCTAAGTACCGCGTCATACTGCCACACAATAACTATTTATTGGCACCAGCAAGCTCTGATCAGTACGTACATAAGTCTGTTGCAACTGCTAATTTTCAGCTTGATGCTCTTTTTGGAGCTACGAACAGAGAGTGAACAGCTCTTTGGTTTTCTAATAGCACATGATTATTAGATTATAATTATGTTGGTAAGTTGTGATTAGTGGAAAACGTAATCCACCTCAATCCGTGTGATGAGTATAATGCTATCTAGATTTGTTTTTGTGACATTTTGTCACACTTGACTCAGATTTAGTCCAGTTCAGGGTGAGGTGTTGCTGCTCCACTTGGTTTGTTTTAGTAAAAAAAGAAAATTCAAAGCAGGAGTCACTGCATGGGTGGAGACTTATTTCATCCACACTTCCTGTTAGGAAAAACTCTTCTAAAATAGGCGTCACCTGGCAGATCGAGAGCTGCACTCAACCGCTCCGTTTGCGTTGTTGGAGTTTCTCAGAGAAAAAACGAGTTGTCAATGAGCGTGCACACACTCCCGTGTGCATGCAAGCACGTAGACACAGTAGACTTACCGCTCAGGAGAAGAGCAGACAGAGATACTGCAGCATTCTGCAGGATTTCCTGTCCACGGCGATCACCAGGAGAAACGGGGAGGACGTCTTTTTTTTTTTAAGGAGGCGAGCGGCTCTGAGCTGTAATGTGTCATCTTAGCAGGTGAGTGGCTGAGTGAGATGGAGGTGTGGCTGCCTCAGCTGGAGTCTAGTGCAGTGCAACCACGTAGTAATTTGCAGACAACTTCACGTTATTTAGCATAGCCATCAGCTGTGGCTGATTCCAAATCAATGTGGAGCAGTTTTAACCTGAAGATGGAGATATAATTACGGGTTTGGGCTGAAATATTACATAAGTTGCACTAAACTGCCACACCAATGATTGCACATGTGTACAACACCGTTAGACACTCATCTACACAGGTTATCAGCAAAAAAAAAAAAAAAAAAAAAAAAGTTAAGTTAGGTGTGACTCGCACTTTAAACCTTCTGAAAACTGCCCACCGCACAAAGACCTAGTTTGCACATCCTACAGAACCAGTCTTGGACCGACAAACACAATACAGATATGATCTGCACGTAATTGTGCCATTGATTGTTTGATGGGTGGGAACTAACTTTTTTTTAAACTTTTCCTAAAGGTGATGCCATCCGTGGCGCCAATCCAGGCATCAACCAAAATGGCCATGGCTTCAGCACCACTGACCGAGACCATGACGGCTGCTCACCGTGCATTTTTGGCGACATCGCTGTACGGAATTGCGCCGCTTTGGAGGGTGGTGGTTGGTGGTTCAGCAAGTGTGGATCTGCTAATCTAAACGGCGACTGGCATCCTTCTGGTCAGCACGTTGGCTGGGCTTCCGGCCTCCATTGGCTCACATGGAAACATGCTCCTTATTCAGCCAAGGCCACCAGAATGATGATCAAGTCTGGCTAAAGTCTCTTCCTATTTTGTTTTTTTTAGACACCCAGGTCATATCTGCCTTTTTCTTTTTTCAAAAAAAATGCTGAAAAAATACTTAATGGAGGATGAGTAAAACCAGAATTATTATTCTTGGGTGTTTTCACCCCACCTGTCCATTAAAATCTCCTTCTGTTGATGGACATTGTTCCTCAGATTTCAAAGAAATTTGTTGTGCAGATCCTGAGGTTCTTGAAGGCTAGTTTGTTATTAAAAGAGACTTAATTTCTTTGTAAGTTAGTTTTTCTGCAATCTTGCATTGTTTCCACCACAACCTGTGCTTCACCTCTGTTTTCCTGTAACTCTGTGTTCCATTTGAACTTTTATTTTCTTTTTAAAATGGTGGGAAAGATGTTTTCTGATCACTTAGATACAAAATCCAGGTAATTTCATCAGCTACTCTTTTGGTCCATTAAGCAAAGATTTTGTATTTTTAGTTGTGTTTTTAGGACCATGTTTTTAGTCTGACCTGTACACAATTATCAGTTTAATGATGTACTCTGATCATTGCCTTTGAGTAAGACTTCATCCTTTGGCATATGAAGGCATTTGTAGATCTGCTCAATGCTTGTTCAACCATTTTTATTTTTTATTTTTGCATCACTTGGACATTGCTGTATATTGTTGCATGCCTCATAATAAAAATGCAAGTTTAAAATGACTAATTTTCATTATATGATACATTGTTATCCAAGCTAATCACAAACTCTTTGATATAACTTTATGATTTGGCCAAAACTAATACTTTCACATACCATGATGCAACCACCACCATGCATGACAGTTGGTGTAGTATGTTTGAAAGCCTAGCTTTGAGCATGCTAGTCACTGTGGCTAAAGAACTTCTTATTCTTTGTGCATGCTGATGTCCAACTGAAGACTGAGACACTGGTGTCCAGTTCATGGTAAGCTTGAGTCTTGATGATTCCTAGGCCCAGCGCTAATATTCGCACTGCAGCCTACACTCCTCTATAAAGTGCACTTGGTGGAAGTGCATGCAGGCTTTGAGTGCTTAGTAAACCATTCTGAAAATAAAAGGGACAGAAAGAAAACAATTTTTTATATAGCGCCTATCAAGATAAAAATCACGAGGCGCTTCACAAAAACAAAAGATATAAAAAAGATTTAAATTATTAAAAATATGATTAAAAATATTGAGCATATTTTGTATTTCTGCAACTTCAGAAATGATGATGCCTTTTCTCTGCCTCCTTAAAATTCCCAAGCAGCAGTGGATTGTGGGTAATCCCTTTGCCAAAGTCCCCATCAGTGCTGGCTTCGGTAAAGTGCAGATCAAGGGTGAAAAGGGGGCGGGGCCGAGGTTCACACTTGAGAATTGGAACACCAATCGAACTATCACCACTGAATGGGAACACACAACTGAGGGGCACAAGTGTGAAAGTGAGAGTGTTGGGACTGTGCCTTGGCCTTTGTGCATGCTGATGTCCAACTGAAGACAGAGACACTGGTGTCCAGCATGTCCCAGTTCATGGTAAGCTTGAGTCTTGGTGGTTCCTAGTTTGCTCTTGAACATCCAGCACAACTTCCTTTCAACTGAGGATCACACTAGAGTGTTGGTCAGTTTCACGACTGTGCTGTCAAATCCATTTTATGATGACAGGAGAAAGCCCGTGCCGACACTAATGTGTAAGCGCCATAAGGGACTGCTTTAGGACCTCACATAGCCGGGGGGGTCCCAAGAGCACAGGGTGACATGAGTAAAAGATGTTTTAATAAATTTAAATACCAACTAAATACTAATTCACATGAAAAAATAAAAACAATGTATCTGTATTGTTTTCTGTAGTGTCATATGGTTTTATTTTGTAGTGCAGCACTCTTTACTCATGTTTCAAATTTTAAGAACAAAAGATAGTAAACCTAATATTTTTACTGTTAATTCGGTGTTTGTCTGCTGATGTTTCTATAGCTGAATTAATGTACCACACTTAAATAACACTCTTGATTTTAAAATGCAAATTAATTGGACCATTTATGTTGGTTCGCTGCTCCAATAAACTTAAAATAGTAGGACGGGAGGCAAATCTTTTATCTATCAGGCTCCTCTCTTGTGAAACAAGCTCCCAGCTTTAGTCCGTGAGGCAGACACCTTGTCTACTTTTAAGACTAGGCTTAAAACATTTAAATTTGATAGGGCCTATGGTTAAAATCTGATGTTAGCCCAAATCTGGACAAGAGGGGAAGTAGAGGGAGGTGGAGCGTACAATCGGTAAAGACGGCTTTTCCTTGCCCTGCCTCCAACATGCCTCCATCTAAAAAGGCTAGGTTTTCCAGAGTTATCTCTGTAGTTATGCTGCTATAGGCTTAGACTGCTGGAGGACATACTGGCCACTTTCCACACTCTACTACTTTCTTCTACAATTCGCTTTTTAACTGTATTATTTCCCACTGTTTCAGCTGTTAACTTTATTTTTTCTCTGTTTATCTCCTCAGAAGAACCTACAATGGTGTTCTGCTGAGCTGTGGTGGCCTCATGGAGGGGGCCGAACACTGTTGCTAACCATTTAAAAATTCTCCCTCTCCTGATAATAACATTTTACTTTCTTTGACATTGAATGTGCTACTACTAGTTTACCCGTTTAATTATAGATTCACTAGGATAAATACAATAAAGTTTACCTCGCACAAAATAGAGTATTTACTAAGAAATCACAATGTTACCATAGAAACACTACTTGGTGTGTGTGTGCGTGCGTGCGTGCGTGCGTGTGTGTGTGTGTGTGTGTGTGTGTGTGTGTGTGTGTGTGTGTGTGTGTGTGTGTTTGTGTGTGTGTGTGTGTGTTGGTATGTTTGTGTCTGCTTTGTCTTCTTGATCCTCAGTGAGTCGTGGCGGATGGCCACTTATACTGAGCCAGAATCTTCTGGAGGTTTCTTCCTGTTAAAAGGGAGTTTTCCTCTCCACTGTCGCTAAATGCTTGCTTAGTATGAGGATTGCTGTAAAGTCAATGACACTAGTCAGTGAGTTTATGCAATCTGCTGGGTTCCTTATTTAGGAAACTTTTTACTGATTGGGCCTAATGAACTGACCTGTATTGGAATGTTTACTATGTGAAGTGCCTTGAGACGACTCTTGTTGTGATTTGGCGCTTTATAAATAAACTTGAATTTAATTTAATTGAATAAAAAAATCAATATCCACAATAACACAAGTTTGATGTAAGCTAATTACAAAATATGCTAATAATACTGGGCATGTTACACAAATGGTACAGCTTAGGAACGATGAATCATCTGGTGTTGACTTGTTGGTATGGGGGCCCCAAGAAACCTGTTTAGGGCCCCATAAAGGCTTAGGCCGGTCCTGCCTTGGAGAGCAGATCTTTGCTTTAGCTGTTCCTAAGCTTTGGAATGACTTCTACTCTCAGTATGGCTTTTGGACATTGAAATTTTAATTAGCAAACTTTGTCCCTGAATTGTAGTTACTTCCTTTAACTGTTTTATCACTGTTTTGCTCTTATTCTGTTGTGTTTATCTTGTTATTGCAACCCCTTTTTTATGTTTTTGCAATTTGGGTTGCATTCTTGATTTTATGTTATATCAGCCTGTTGTTTATACTATGATTGTGAGTGCTCATTTTATCATTGGTATTACTGCTCTTTTGTCTCTTTTTACATTGCCCTCTTTCTGTGTTCAAGCACTTTGGTCAGCTGACATGCTGTTTTTAAATGTATAAATGTGGTATGGTATGGTTTTTGGTCTACCAGAGAAAGCTGGAGCACAAAACCCACAAGATAATTAATGGCTTTGTGATTTTGTTACTGCAAAAAGAGCCTGAATTACTTTTTTTGAAACAGTTTATGAACATGGTGTAGTTACCAACCAGTTCTCAAGCACAGCCACTGCTGCAGCTTACTGTTCCAGGTTGGGTCACATGCAGAATTGTAGTATACAGCTAACGAGATTTTAACTTTATGGTAACATTTCTTTAAAAAAAACACCTTATTTTAGCATGACTTGCACTGAAGTATCTTGAACCTTGATGGTTTATTTTGCTTGTTGTAATGGTGCTAAATCAATTTGAGATTTTCTATCCTGCAGCTTGTGTGAACAGAAGGCAGATATGTTGACAGAATTGCTGCTGGTTAAAGGAACTTGTGACACGTTATCTTTTTTTTGTTTTCAAGACAGCCTGGTGCTCCATGGGGTGTGAGTCCATGCATGTAAGGGATGTTTGGTGACTTGTAACTCAGAGCTGCTGCTGAGCTCTCTCTCCTGCTACAGCATCAATATTTAAAGGACTGTTTTCTCGTCACTTTATTTCTTAAAGAAAATTCCATCTCAAAGGTTGTCCAGTACAAGCCAACGATTCAATGTTTATACGAAAACTGCTCACTTTTTAATTTTGTTCCTGCTACATTAAAATGCAGGAACTTTTTACTTTCATCATGCATAACAAAATTTAGTTGGTAGTTCGTAGCTTGAAGGCAAAAATGTAGACATGTAAAAGATTTAAAACGTTGATGTTTCTGGAATAACTGGGAGTTATTTTTAAGCAGACCTGTCGAACTTGCGTGAGGGGATGTTGGGAGGTCACTGTAGATGACCTGTGTTGTTCAGCTGTTTCTGTGAGGGGTGACAAAGGTCAAATGTGTGGTGGTTTGGTTAGGGTTTAAAAGGTGCTGCTTCTTCCCAGCAGCTAAAACTGGGATAAGTTTACCCACAAAGCAGGTATGTGTTTCACGGAAGACCCCAAAGAAAAGATCCATTTCTGACTTTAGCTTTTTTCATGTGCTTGTCTGACACCTTGTATAAGAACTATGTTGTTTCCTAAGTCTTCCAGTCCTCAGGAGTTATTGCCTGAGCAATGACAATAACCCATTGATGCAGACGTGTGTGTCTTAAACAGGAGAAAATGAAGGGTCTGCTTTCCTGTTGTGGACTCGTATCGATGCTTCTGTTGAGCATTTCAGCCCAAGCTGAGGTAAATGTACAAAATTCTCTTTTTCTATTCTAAAAATCAAACTTTTAGTTATTAAGTCTTGTGTTTTAGATTTAAACTCTCATGAAACGTTTAGATTTGATTCAGATCTGGCATTACATATCTTCATACCTGTCAGAAGGTTGATGTTTCAATCCTGGCTCTTTTTAAAATGTTCTTGTGTAGACACCCCCATGGATGCAGGCTTGTTTGCTGAGTGCTGTGGTGTTTTGTTGACTGTTTTGTGCTGGAAAGCATATCAGGTCATGGCTGCCTATAGAACGTTTTCTTGTTCTTCACATCTAAAAACCACAGACTGATTGTGTCCATTCAGCTCCACCATATTCATCATTTCACCAGATGTTTCATTTTACTTGTCAAATCCAGCAATTCTATCCATGTTTCCTTTATCGCTGAAATCAAAGTCCTACATAACACCTGCTGTTTTAATGTGTTAAAATGGAAATATTAACCCTCTCAGGCTCAAATTAAGTTTTGATAAAAGGACGAACAACTAAGTCCTTCAGGGGTACTTCTGAGTTAAAAAATGCTCATGAAATACATATGTGGAGTAACCAGGTAGGTAGGTTTTAACTGTTGCTAATCTGCAACGCCTGCCTTCAGAGGGTTAAACCATTTTTATAACTTTTTCTTAATAGCAGACATCAGCTCTTCCTGCAGGTAAGATGCATTCGACTGTTACAAGTTCTTTAAATAAACAAGTTTAAATACTCTGTTTAATATTTAGGTCTTTTTTATTAACTTGCTTACAGACTGCACACAGATAAGGACTCAGTCACCACAATCACCCAGTGGACTTTATGACCTCCAGCCTGTTGGTGTCAACAATCGTTTGAAGGTAACAGACTTACAAGTTCTTTAAGTTTTATCTTAAACAAATCGAGTTTCAGCTTCCTGAAAATCTTCAGCACTTTTTTAGACTTGGAAACTTTTCATGATGTGACAGAAATGTCTTTTCTGTTCTTTTGAAATACATGCAAGCTGCTTTATTGTTTTATTGGTCAAAAAATATAGATAAATAAAAAAGCACATCTGACATGAGCGTTTTTTTGGACTTCCTCTTCAGGTGTTCTGTGAGATGCGTTCAGCTGAAGGCTGGATAGTGATTCAGAAACGGACTGGAGGACTGCTGCCCTTCAACAGAAGATGGGCTGAATACAGATTTGGTTTTGGATCCTTGGCATGTATGTAAATATGTAAAAATAATAATAATAATAATAATAATCCGTTTGTTTCCTTGGCCAGACACTTCACCCTGCTTGCCTGGTGGTGGTGGTCGGAGGGACCGGAGGTGCTGATAAAGTGGCAGCTTTGCTTTCCTCCTCACCAGAGTGAGAAGGATTGCAGTGTAGAGTGCTTTGGAGTCTTCTGTCTTAGAAAAGCACTTTACAGAAGTGCAATACTATAATTATTTTACCCACCCAGTGGTTTGAGAGATGCGTTGGTAACCTGCACAAGCAGAAACCTTTTTTCCTTGCATTTTGGTAAAAGAAAGACAAGATGAGATTTCAGGAACAAATGAGAAAGTGTTGTTGCATTTGCTTTGACTAAACTAGAGGATTTATAATTTATTTATTCCAGCCTAATCTGCAGAAAACAACCCAAAGTTCTCTTCTCCTTCAGATGACCACTGGCTCGGTCTGGAGAAGGTTTATCTTCTGACTAAGGATGAAACCAAGAAGTGGACTCTGAGAGTGGACCTGTGGGACACTGAAGGAAACACTGCGTATGCTGAGTACAGGAACTTCAGACTTGGAGATGAGCAAACATCTTACAAACTGCAGGTTGGAAAATACAGAGGAACTGCAGGTACTCTTTCACTGAATTGCTGAACTTCTGAACATTTAAACATTATTTATATTTCTAAAACCTTTTTTATCTTCCTTCAGGTGATGCCATCCGGGGAATCTCTCTAGATATGGATGAAAATGGCTTTGGCTTCAGCACCCTGGACCGGGACAACGACGGCTGCTCTCCCTGCCTCTTCTACGACATTCTTGTAGAAGAGTGTATTATGTTACAGGGTGGTGGTTGGTGGTACAGCAAGTGTGGCTCTGCCAGTCTGAACGGTGACTGGTATTCTTCTGGGGACCACACAAGTTGGTCTTCAGGCCTTCGATGGACCACATGGAAAACTCCTAAAACATCTTCATTTAAAGCCACCAGAATGATGATCAGGCCTGAGTGAAAGTCTCTTTATTGGGTTTAAGACTTCAGCTGCCAGTGTCCGCTGATCAATTTTGTTGTTGCGGTGCAGGCTCAGATGTTTTGGGAGGCTACTTTTTATAATTAAACCAGCTTTATCGATTCCTCCAGGCTTTCCAATTGCTGGCCGCTAATAATCATATCATCACCAGTGTTCCTGCTACATTACATTGCTGTGTGTGTATCATCATCATCAAATATCATCATCAAAACAAAAATCCTTAACAGAAATTTGAATTGTATGCTATTGTAGGCACAAGCTATTTAAAAATGGTGGGATACATATTTGATGAAAACCTGCATCCTGCAGCTGTACCTTGTACTGTACCACAGAAAATGATATGAGAATAAATAAAAGTTGCAACTTAATCAGTCATGTCTGCTGTCTTAAATTCAGGTCAAACAATTGTAATGTCCATGCAGGACCTGATCCACCCTGAAAACAGCCTGTGCTGCACACACTTGGTGATGATGACGACAGCTTCTTTAAACCCTAGATAACTTGTTTTTTTTGCTAACTCTCACAAATTAGTTGATGCACTGAATGTGAAGCCATGGCCTCTGTTAGGCAAATCTGATTTCTATCTGAGGCTAATGTTTATTGGTTACAAACAAGCACACACACACACACACACACACACACACACACACACACACACACACACACACACACACACACACACACACACACACACACACACACACACACACACACACACACACACACACACACACACACACACACACACACACACACTTTGATAACTTTCCAAACAATTTTGATTCCTTTTTGTTTATCTTTATGACCCAGAACCCATTCACACCGAATACTCAAAGTGGTGAGATCTCCTCGTTACCTCTTTATCTAACCAAGGCCAGGCAGTGTGGAAAACAACTTTAAACATGTCAACAGAATGAAGGTTGTCATAATACACACGATAAGATTGGCTATTATCAGATGTGGTGTAGCATGTTTTATTGTGAAAGGAAAGTTTTTGTTGTAAACTGCAAGCAGGCTCATGAGAAGAGCTACAATAAACATCCAAGTTGAGTTGTGCTGCATAGTTTCACTTGAATTCTCACACCTAGTCACATCAAGTCAATTTTATTTCTATAGCACTTTACCACTTGACATGTCAGCTGACCAAAGTGCTGTACAAAACAATTAAAACAGGGTAGTTAAAGCTCTTAAAAGAGGACAAACAACAGGGAGAAAAGACAGTGGTAGTACAATAACACACACCAAAAAATGTCACAGCCAAAAGCTACATTTAAAAAGTGAACCTTTAGCCGTGATTTAAAACGGGCGATAGAAGGAGACTGTCTCACCCATCGACATATACATATATATATATATATGGACAATGGGTTTCCAAAGACTCCAATAACACGTTTTTGAGGAAAAATGGGAGGTGGCCACCACCGCCATTTTGAATGTGTCACAGGTTCCATCAAGCCCAGACAATTCCACAAAAGGGAAGAGAGGTGGAGCTGTGGGTGGGGCTGTAAGGCTGGGATCAAATGACGACACCCGGTTGAACTAGTTACAAGCTAACCTGAAGCTAACCCAAAGCTAACGCGGAGGTGGGAGCTAAGCTAATGGAGGTAGCTACCTAGCTACAACCGGAGCTAACTCTGTGGAACACCAGCGACCTGAAGCTCACACGGAGTTTGTGTGGAGGTTTGCGGCGCTTTTTGATGAAAACTACCTTACTGTGAATAAAAAAGTATTAAATCGGTAAGTTTATAAGTTATTTCCTTAATGAAAATATATTTAGCTTTTAGCAAGTTTTCAATATTTTTAACGTACCGTAGATTCCGGACTATAAGTCGCACCAGACATAAAATGTATAATGAATAAGAAAAGAACATATATAAGTTGCACTGGACTATTAGTCACATTTTGGGGGGATATTTTATTATTTTTCTTACAAAATCCGAGACCAAGCATTTCACATTGCAAGACAAGTATCGGTAACAATAACAGAATAAACAACGCGGGCGCAGCAGCGCCCCACGGTCTCCAGCAGAGGATGGCTGTGTGTTTTTAGTTCCCTGCTGGTCAGGGGAGCTCACTCCTGGGCTGGATCAGGTGTGTAACGGTGTGCCACAGGCTCCAGCAGGTGATGGCTGTGTGTTTTTTATTCCCAGCGGGGCAGGGGAGCTCATTCCTGGTCCGGAGCCGGCCCGCAGCAGCGCGGTATAGCCTACATAATTTGGTATATCAGTCGCTCTGGAATATAAGTCACAGGACCGGCCAGACTATGAAAAAAGTGCAATTTATAGTCCGTAAAATACGATAGTTATCAGTATTTGGGATAAATTAGCAGGCTAAATTCATTTCATATATTTCTAAAATTTAATACTTGTTTGTATCTTGTAAAGCCAAGTAGCCTTTATTCTGGACTCAGCACAATTCACCAAAAGTAAAGAGACATTATACAGATGAAGTAAGCACAAGATAACTTACTGGAAGAAACAGAATTATCATGAGAACCAGAACACGAGAGCCTGATAACAGTCATGTGAAAATAATAATTAAAATGTATGTATGTACAATAGAAATAAAAATATATTAGAATTAGTGCAACTCACTGTGATCCAAACAATAAATCAGCCATAGCTGATTAGCAATCATGAAATGAGGTCTGGGAGTTTTTAAGTTTCATTTTTTTATTACATTTTTTTCTTAGATCTGTTAAAAGGTCACCATGGCAGCCTGTGTGTCTTCATCGTTGGCTACACAAAGCATCAAGTGTAAGTACCAAGTACCTGTCTTGACCACTTCATGAATGGTTTTGTACATGAATGGTGAGTAACTCTGGGAGATAGAAGGGAGCCAGGTCATGAAAAGATTTAAACAAAAAGCAAGATCTTAAACTGAACCCGGTAAAAAAAAAAACTGGAAGCCAGTGTAGATTTGCAAGTATAGGAGTGATATGAGTGCACCTATCTGACTTTGTCAGAAGTCGTGCTGCCTAACTAAAAACACAACCATGTTTTTCATTAGGAAGGCAGTTAAACTCAATGTAAAGGCATCCAGTAGATGCTCATCTAGAGCAGTAGTTCCCAACAGTTTTTTTTTCTTTAGGCCCCTCTTGATTATGCCCAAGAACAAGCCAGGACCCCCAACCCTGACTCCTTCCGACAGACACACATTAAAAGTGATTCATCACAAACTTTATACAGTATTTGTATTTTACTATTTGGTGTTTTATTGGGATTTTCATAATGTAATCTTTACAAATAAAATTGTGGGGACCCTCTGCAATCTCTAAAGATCCCCTGCTCGAAGGGGCACAGACCGTGGTTGGGAATCACTGATCTAGTTTCATTAAAACCCATCTAGATGGTTTTAAGATGTTATTTTTCTTTAACAGACAAACAAACACAAGCAAAATAGATAATGCTGATTTGGGCAATAATGAAAACAAAACGTCTTTTAACATCATCGATGTATGTTTTGCTTCTGATAGTGCTGTGATGTACAGTCAACAAGTGTTTGGTTTTCCTGCTGAACTGCAATTGTCTTGATGGTGGGTTCAGCTTTTCAAGGATATTTAACTTCATTCAACATATGAGTGAAAATCATTCAAGCTTAAAACATATTTCTGGCCTTAAAGGAGTGACTGACCCGTTTTTATCAATACATTTGCAGTGGTCTTTAGTAGGGATTAATGCATTGTAGGTTGTTCATGAGGGGAAAAATATACCAACGCACCATTTCTTCAAACTAAAAGTTGCCCACATCCCAGTTGAGCTTCAGAAAGCAGGTTTTAGAGTCTTATTCCTGATATTTGGACATTCTTAAAGATGTGCAAGATTACTGTAATGGTTCTAAAGATGATCTTATCAGAAATTCCTACCGTTTGTGGTCTGTTAAGAGCACTCTGGTCTGCTTGGTAGGGTGTCGGGACTGCTCCAAACATAAATGTGGGCTTTCAAACAAGTTAGAATGTCTTTTCGGGGACAAACAAGCTTGCTACCTGTTCAGTATGACATGTGGCCAATCAGAAAGCAATATGATGGAAGCAAGCTGCACACTCCTCCTCTGCCATGTTTGTTTAGATTCTGCCAAACCCTGATACACCCACCCAGGTGGATGTTTTGTGAACCTGTTTATTTCTTCATTGCTGTTGCACATAATTTGCAGTGTCTAATTTCAGGGTAAGATTCCCAAACAAACAGTACTATTTATATGGTGGCATAAACATGCCCACCACTTTCAGCAGGTGTGTACCTCTCACCCCTGAGGAATTTCACTCTGTTATGATCATGGGAGTGCATCATGCCTCACTTTTATTCAATAGCCTTTCAGCACGTTGTGACATGATGATCCCAGTACTGAGCTTTAAAAAATCGGTGCTTGATGTCTATTCCAAACAACAAGATATGAATTGTGAGATTGTCTTTAAAGTTTTGTTATTCTGGTTTGTTTTCCTGCAAACAAGAGGTTTTAGGCAAATGATGCAAATGTGTGTTAAATGGGCTGGGCTTGGGCGTCAAGATAACACTAATTCCTAAAGCCAGCTTTTGTGTTTATTACAGGTTGTCTAGTTTTACAATGACAATATTCTAGCCTTAGTATGCATGTAGAAACCAATTAGGCAATAAAAACAAAACAAAAAAGAGTGACAGAGAATTCTGACATGACATGAAGGTGGTAGCCCTTTCTCTAATTATTGCCACTTTATATTATGATTTTATCATGATTGTATTTGTACTTGCTATATTTACATATCTGTTATTCTTATATTTCTTTTTGCACCAAGTACCACAGCAATTTTCTCATGTCGTGATTTTTCGCACATAAGGCAATAAAACCCTTCTGATTCAGATTCTGGTTTTACTTCTTTCAGACAGACACAGATGTCCTGGAAATGTAGGGTTAGGGTACATAGTCAAGTGAGTTTCTTTTTGAAACCTCTTAACTTAACTGGATGTCCTGAAACAATCAACCATCCGAGCACTGTTTATTATGTGAGATACTGGAATCTGGAGCCACTGCATCTAAATCACAACATCACTGCTGATTAAAAGATTAAATGCATGAATTCGGATCATCAGCATGAACTAAGTTTCGGTCAAATAATGCAGAAAAACCACCAACTGTAGACCGATTAATGATACATCTCTCTGATCTCATTGAAGAACCAGATCAAGATTGGACAAAACCCTAAACACAGGAACGAAGACGGAACTGACTAAAAACAATAGGAAGACCAAAACGTCACGCTGTGACAGATGAGAGATAAACACAAAACCAATTAATATGATTAGTATTCCCTTTCTATAGCCTTGGAATAATTTATTCATGTATTTATTTTGCTGCTCTTCCTGGAGAGTAACAACATCACACTTCAACCCAGTTAAAGGGGACGTTGGGAGGTGGCTGTTGATGACCTCTGTTGTTGAACTGTTTCGTCGTCTGGCGTGACAGATTTATTCTGAGGTGTGGCGGTTTGCTCAGGGTTTAAAAGGTGCTGCTTCTGCTCAAGAGTGTAAACTGGGAGTCAAGGTTCAACCCACAAGCAGGTAAGTGTGAAGACCCTTAACCCTGGATGTTTTAGCAGGTTTTTTATGTTTTATTGATAATACAACTCTTTTAGGTCAAAATGAAAATCCTTGTGTCAATGCTTCTGCTGGGCGTCTCAGTGATGGCTGGGGTAAATATTAAAACATCTTTAAAATATTCAAGACATGCAAATTAATTATGATTTCTGTTTGAACTTTAGTCAATAATGTGTCACTCTCCAACTGTTTTCTTACTTTTTGAAAAACAGGGAGCGTGTTTTCCAAATGGTAAGGAGAATTACTATTATTATTATTATTATTATTATTATTATTATTATTATTATTATGTTAACATATTGTCTGTAATATAGCATAATGCAGTTTGATCTTCCTCTCTTTTCTTTTGAAACCAGACTGTTCACAGATTATACGACAGCAAAAACGAGCATGCAGCGGCATTTATGACATCCAGCCGGCTGGAGCCAGCGCTCCCTTTGAGGTATTTAAAGAGTTTCATAACCTTTTGACAGAATCCGATTCTGTAGTTGTTTCGTCTAAGTGTTGCCCTCTAAAAGCTCTCATTGTGCTTCTGCATATGTCTGGTGAAAGTCACAAAGATGCAGAGTTGCGTACATTTTTCGACAACAAAAACAGACAGCACAATTACGACTAATTTTTACCCCTAAGAATGAGATTCAAGTAAAAACCACCTGGGTATTATGGGCTCATCAGGTCTAGATCTCTGTTCGTGAGGTGTTCCTTATTGACACTGCAACGTCACACAGCTCAACTAGTCAAGAATTGTTTTGCAGGAATTTCAAAAGGGAACTGCTTCCTGAGAGAGTTAGATATGAGCCTTGCATTTATCTCTTCCTGTTCAGATTATTGTTACGGGATCTTTAAATGTCTGAACAAGAAGAAACTCCAGCATCTCCTGCCCTTGTGATCTTTAACATCAGTGAAGTCCTTGTTTTATGATCTTATGTATTTGTCTTTGACAAGTGAAACTCGAAAAATTTGAATGTGGTGCAAAAGTCCATTTATTTCAGTAATTCAACTTAGACTACCTAAAGGCTTGAGAACCCTTTGCAGGTGTTCTAGATTCGTTAGTTGATTAGAGTGTGACACCTTGAGTCTAGAATATTGAACCTTTTTACAATATTCTAATTGTTTAAGGATATGAATTTGTGGTTTTCATGAGCCATCACCATTATAACAAATAACACTCGGGTCAGCTTGGTCTGGGCTGGGTAATGTTACTGAGTCCACATTCTTTATGTTTTTATTTATTCTTCATTTAACCAGGAAGGCCCATTGAGATTAAAAACCTCATTTTCAAGGGAGTCCTGGCTAAGAGGCAGCAAAAGTTGCAGTTACAAAATTTTTCTGTTACACAGACATGTTATGCTCAAAGTTACAGAAAGCACTAACAGCACAGGTAATCTGCCTCAAGGGTTCTCAGTCTGGTTTTAAATGTGTTCAAGAAGATAAACTTGGTTAATTTCCAGTTTTCCTGCAGCCTGTTCCACGCAGAAGGAGCAGAGTGAACAAAAGCCCTTTTGCCCAGTTCGGTGGGAGCAAATAAAATACAAAGACTGCACACGCAGACTGTGAGAAGTTACACTTCTCCCTGAGATTACGTTACAGATGTAGCTGAGTAATGATCCAAGCACGGCCTTATAAAAGCTGCTACAGTGTGGCCACAGCAGCCTAGGGACTCTCTGACGGGGGCCAGCCTTCCAGGCACAGGCACCACCAGTCCCTCTGACCAGACTAGAGGATGCCTCTACATGGTGCTTGTAGAATCAGCCAGCAGCGGCTTCCTGACTGAGCGATTCACGTAGCATCAGGATAAAATGGGGGGTAAACACCTTCTGCGGGTCCAACAGTGATAACTGACTGTGTGAGCAGTAAGAAGAGTAGGAAGTGCAAGCAACGCTGCTCACAACTATTGTTTCACTGACTTATGGCTCTTAGGAGTAAAACCCCGGCCACAGTCCTGAGAAGGCAGTGTAAACACAGCCGACTGTGTGTGTGTCTGGGGGGGGGGGGGGGGGGGGGGGGGGGGCTGTACCTACCTGGCCCAGGCCGAGCTGACCAAAGTGTAAAAGTGGCTCAACTGTTCATGATCTTTCCAGAGAAACTCACCTCAGATTATCTCAACTATCCTCTACACTTGCTACAGACCTACAGGTACCTGTTTCACAAAGCCATTATAAAAAACTCGGCTAGTTTGAAAACAAACGTAGTTACAACACTAAAACAATATATTTTCTGGCTTTTCAGGTTTACTGTGAGATGCGAATAGATGGAGGCTGGACTGTGTTTCAAATGCGCACCGGAGCAAGCTTGTCTTTTGACAGAGAATGGCACGCGTATAAAAACGGATTTGGAAATCCAGCCGGTATGTAAATAAAATTCGAGACATCAAATATTAAATTACCATTCTGCTTCTTCTTCTTCTTCTTCTTCTTCTTCTTCTTCTTCTTCTTCTTCTTCTTCTTCTTCTTCTTATTATTATTATTATTATTATTATTATTAGTGGTAGTAGTAAGCATTGTTCGACAGCTGCAGCTGAGAACTGTAATGGAGTGGTTTTCCTTGTGTCTGTTTGAGCGTTCCTTCACTGTGGCCGTCTCCAACTCTATTAAAACCTGGATGGCTGGGAGCTTTCTACAGCTGAATGAAGATAGGGGCAGCAGTAGCTCAGGTGGTAGAGTGGGTTGCCTCATGATCGGAGGGTCATGGGTTCGATTCCAGCTCCCGCCAGGGGTATCCTGCTGTTGTGTCCTTGGGCAAGACACTTCACCCAACTTGCATGTGTTAGTGGTGGTCAGAGGGGCCGACGGCGTCAAATGGCAGCCTCGCCTCTGTCAGACCTCTCCAGGGCGGCTGTGGCTACAAGTAGCTGCCATCACTATCAGTGTGTGAATGTGAGTGTGTGAAAGCATCTTTGGGTGTCTAGAAAAGTGCTATATAAGTTCAATGCATTATTATTATAAGACTAAGATCCTCATCTGTGCCCCAGACAAGCTGGTTCCCAAAGTCAGAGACTCTCTTGTTCAGCTTGCTTCTCACACCAAACCCTCTGTCAGGAATCTTGGCGTGACCTTTGACCCAGCTCTCACCCTGGATTCTCATGTCAGTTCTCTTGTTTTCTCTTCCTTCTTCCATCTCAGGAACGTTGCTAAGCTGAGTCCCATTCTGTCTCGCTCTGAACTTGAGACAGTTATCCACACCTTCATCTCCTCACACTTAGACTACTGTAACTCTCTTTTCACGTGTCTGAGCAGAACCTCCCTGAACCGTCTACAGGTGGTTCAGAATGCCTGTGCTCGGCTTCTGACCAAGTCCTCCGAACACACCCACATCACCCAACTCTCTCTCTCTCCTCGAGCCTGAGATCAGAGATAGTCTCATTTATGATGATTTCCAAACCTGACCTGGTACCTGTATTTATCTTCAAGTCAAATTCAGACCAGCTTGCTGATTAAAATCTGCATCCTGACCCAGGACCTGGACCTAGACACAATAAAATGATTATATTATTTTTGTTATTTACTGACAATTGAAAAGTTCTGCTGCACGTCCAACTTCACCTTATTATTAGGACTGTCCATAACATATTACTCGCCTCTATCCAGTTTTGCTTTCATTTCAGTATTTATTTATTTGGCAGCTTTTAATTTAGCATTTTCTTCATCTTTGAAATTAAGCTAGCTTAACCTCATGAGTGGGGCTTCACAAATACGTTAAGATTATTTTTAATTAAGTATTCATAATAAATAAAAATAAGTTATGCCAACATCTTCTCACCCATAACTTACCCACACTTACAGTGTTTGCGAAAACTTTTGAGCCACACCTGCTAAGCTTCTCACACAGGACATTTTTGATCCGCGTAAGACAATGTCCTCGCGGGCTTCAGATTTGTAACTGTTTAACAGTAGGCATGCATCTCTTATACATATTTTTTACTGTACAATAATCTGTTTAAATAATATGAAAAAAATAACCATCAGTGTGATTTTCTGAAAATTTCAGAAAATGAGGATGAGACAGTTCCTCTGCTAAGAAAACAAATCTACAGAATTTATCAAGAAATTATTAGAGATCATCACATAAGTATTAGAAATTAATATAAAACACCAAAGCATCAGAAAAGATATGAAAATATTTCTAAAAGTTGTAATGGTTCATACGGAGTTATTGTGAGTGGTGTAGCCAGTGCTACTTAGGCTGAAGAGTGAAACTGAAGGTTGGAGATGCGGGTTTATCTCAGCTGTTTGTTAAACCGCTCTAATAAACTGCTGTTGAGTCAATCTGTCTGACATTTTAGTTCAGCACAAATATCACAATAAAAAGAAATGATCTTAAGTTACCTAAAGTTTGTAATACAGCTGCTTAAAGCTTCCAGTGCACCGCCGCCGTGCGCAGATCTATTAAAATGCTCAGAAGAAGCGCTCCTGCGGGCAGCTGCTGCAGAGACCAGAGACGATCTCTGATGGATTATTGAAAATAATGCCTGTGTCACAGATTCAGAGCAAATTATCAACAGTTCATTTGTGGTTTTCAGGAGTTTTATTTTATTTTGGCAAGATCAGAGAAGATGCAAGTCGGTCATAATGTCCGACGATTTAAAAGTTTTTGTCGGACAATATTAAAACACGTCGGTAATGTCCGACGTGTTTTCACAAACACTGCACTAAAGATACTTCTGCACAGACCCATGCTTGTGTACTTTACTTATGTATCTTTCCACCTATGAAAAGACTTTTTCTTTGGCCACCCTCTGCTACCCATCTTGTGTCAGGACACTGATCAGTGGACTCAGTGGTCTCCTTCAAATGTCATCTGTACAGGTGTCGCGAGCGTGTCCTATTTGTCGGTTCCTTTAAAACCTGGTTCCGTTAGATCCTAAGACTGCGCTGCTTTCTCAGAGTTTGTGGGGCGTTGGTGAGTTTTATTGTATTAGAAGTAAATATAAAACTAACCTATCCCCTGTGGAGGATGCTAATGCTAAAATCTTCCTGAGAATAAATGGTTGACTTGCGTCAACACTAACCTGTCACTCTCTAACTCTAGGTATGACTCTCTCCTTCTCTCCCCAACGACGGACCTGTCGTCCTCCATCCAGAGGACGGAGGACGACCTCTTCTTTTCCACCTCTGCTCTGTCTCTCCACTGTCGACTGCCCCAGCTGTTGTCTGCTCTGCTTCTAGCTGCTCTTTTTATACTCTTCTTGGGACAGCCTAGACAAAGTAAAAGCTTTCCAGTTACACATATATCATTATCACATGACAGCAAGACATTGAGGTCATTCATCAGTTTCATACTTTTTAGCTCAACACAAGACATTTGGTGTCTTCTCCCGAAGTCCAGGATTCTTCATGAAGGCTTTTTAGCTCAACACAAGACATTTGGTGTCTTCTCCCGAAGTCCAGGATTCTTCATGAAGGCTTTTTAGCTCAACACAAGACATTTGGTGTCATTTTTGCTACTGATCTTCAGCTTCTCCCGAAGTCCAGGATTCTTCATGAAGGCTTGTCGTCTCCTGATAAGCACTTTACAGTCTGCCTCCTTTGACCCCACCTCTCTTGCTGAAGGCTGGGTCAAACACTTCTTGACCTTCTGCCCAATTTTACTCGCAGAAGCAAGTTCTGATCCCTTGGATTCTTCATGAAGGGTTTGTCTACTTCTGAGATGCTTTATCTTCAGTTGATCTTCTTTTGTCCCAGCTTGTATGCTTGTTGTGCAGTTGGGCCCCTGTCTTCTGGCTGATTTTACTTGCATAAGCAAGTTCAGTGTGTTTCAGTGTGGGTCCAATCTTATCTCTGTGGCCCACCTGTTGACTCAGTTTCTTGCCACTGTCTTTGGCATGTGGGAACTTGCAACACAGGCTGTCTTTTCTCTTCTTTTTTTCAACAATTTCTATTTATTTCTGTCTCTCCTGATTTCTTTCTCAAGCACCTTGTGTTTTCTTTTTTTTTATCTTGAAATACACTATGCAAATACATTTTCCTCACTTTACTTATCTACAAAAGGGGATTAAACAATTACCATTTAATTTTATTCATTGGTTGTGCTCTGCTGTTCTCAGAGGACCACTGGCTCGGTCTGGAGAAGGTTTATAATCTGACTAAGGACACAACCAGGATGTGGACTCTGAGAGTGGACCTGTGGGATTTTGAAGGTGGCAATGCTTATGCTGAATACAGGAACTTCAGACTTGGAGATGAGCAATCAGCCTACAGCTTGCAAGTTGGGAAATACAGAGGAACCGCAGGTACTGGAGATTTTATTGTTCATTGAAATAACAGACACCAAAGTCTCTCTCAAAGCTGGATTCTAAATGGGTTCTTTTTCTGCACAAAGGTGATGCCATCCGTGGTGCCCATCTAGGCATTGACCAAAACGGTTACGGCTTCAGCACGTTTGACCGGGACAACGACGGCTGCTCACCTTGCATCTTTGACAACATTGCCATACGACATTGCGTCTCTTCAGAGGGTGGTGGTTGGTGGTACAGCCAATGTGGATCAGCTAGTTTAAATGGTGAATGGCATCATTTTGGTGAACACATTGGGTGGTCTTCTGGCCTCCACTGGGAAACCTGGAAACATGCTCGTTATTCAGCCAAGGCCACCAGGATGATGATCAGGTCTGAGTACTGAACTGGTTGAATGTCATCAGTCTTAAACATGTTGCTGCAAAAATATAGAAGAGTATGCGGGCAAGATTGTAGTTCATGAAACAGCAATGACAATACAATTATTGGACATAAACCTCTAGAACTACTTAAGACAGGTACCCAAAAATGATTAAAATGTGTTTTAATGATTCAGGCAGACATTAAACAAAGAATTGATTGAACTATTTAGAATTTCAACCTTTAGATGCTCAAATGAGTGTGCTAGCTTCTTGAACTATCATCTTTTTCATTTGGCTTGATTTGTTATTATTGTTCACAAAGAGTTGGTTTGACATCTTATCTTTAATTTATTAATATTTGTAAATATTTAAAAATTTCCATAAACTTTTGAAAATTGTCAGACTTTTTTATTTTTGCTTTTTAAGTTCATAAACCTTTTTTACTCCCAAATATTCATTCATTCGCAACAATTTATCCATGGAAGTGGTGCTAGAAAGGAGTGAAGCTAATGTCCTTATCCAACAAGTCTTTGGGCGAGAGGCAGGAGATATCCTGGACATGTTGCCAGTCAATCAATTCCAGAATGATTGAAACTCTGCTTTTCAGATTGGACCAGACAGGAAGTCAAACGTAAAAGCACTGAGAAAGATCCAGAAACTTTCTAAATAAAAGTCAAGTGCAGATTACATTATATGCTTCTTACACATCCAGTGGAAAAGCCGGGTAATTGTCTGGGATTTTGAATTTGGGGTTTTCATAAACAGTAAACCATAACTATCAAAATCGTTAACAAATAAAGACTTGAAATATCTCACTTTGTATGTAGTGAGTCTATCACACACATTAGTAACTCATTTTAAATAGAATTCCTGAAATAAATTAGCTTTTGCACAAAATTCACATTTTTCAAGTATCACCTGTATCTGCTCTTTTCAGTGTCAGACCCCCCCCCCCCCCCCCCCAAAAAAAAAAACAGCTCTAATTCTATGATGACACAAACATGGCGATCAGGTTGAACAGGTTGTGCTATTTCAGCATCAAAGGACAATCTCCTGAGGCAAACCCAACACACCTAAGAATAACAAAGACAAAGAATTTACCTCAAAACTGGAGAGGCCACATCTGATTGTATCAGTTAGATGATCCGTTCAGGAAGGCATGTATAAATGAATAATTTACATTTTATGGTTTTCAGATGAGCTCTACATTTTTATTTTACTAAATATACTTTTTAAAATAGTTCCCTGGTTTGTACTTCAAACAGTAAGGTGTGATTAATGAGATGTCACACGAAGTCACACGATTACCAGGTCTTCCAGTTCTACAATGACAGCTGCCCATTAGGCAAGATAGACAAACAAACAAACAAAAAACATTTTAGATTTTAAGGAGAATTTTGACATGCATGAAACCATTTTCATGTTCATCAGACTGACACAGATGTCCTGAAGGTTTAGTATTGTAAAGAAACACTAGGAAGAGGAGGAATGTGGATAGAGATTAGGGAATGGATGTGGATAAAAAAATACCCTGATAATTCTGATTTTATTCTCAGAGAATGCAAGCAAGTCGTTTCAGTCAGACCTTGAGAACAAATGCATGACTGATCACTGTAGCAAACAAAATTTTTGAGTTGAGAAAAGTAAATTGTCCATTTTTATATTTGAAGATAAGTTCCTCAAACATGGTCACATGTGAGTTTATTCCCAAAGCCTTTTAACTATATGTCCTGAAACAATCAACCATCCAAGCATCACCATCAGCCATGGACGTCACTAGGATTGAGATATAGGGGGGGCTTAGCCCCAGGAGCTTGACCTCGAACGTTTTTTGTCACACCCTGCAAAAACTTTGTCAATTAATTCATTATCTGAAGAAAATCTAACAAAACCTATTATTTTATCACTTTCCTTTCCTTTCCTACTTTTGTGCATTTTCTCTCTTCTTTTTATAAAAAATAACACTTAATCAGTTAATTAGTGGGGTCTAAGTTGAAGAAAGATTTTATGTAAGTCCATTAAAAATTTGATATGTTATATTTCCAAATAAAGCTATTCATTTCAGTCTACTGCACTTAACAGGGGGAAATGTTGTAGTCATTTATTTAATTTGTTTAATTACAACTTGTTTAATTATAAATGTTACTGAAATGTGACAATAAAGAACAAATGAATAATTGTCAAACTTTTATTCTGCCAAATAAGTGTGCAGTTGACAGTTTTAATATATGAATAACACTGCTATGATATGGAATAAAGGAGTATATAATTAACTATTACAAGACAAAATAACAGTATATATGAAAATATCCAGCAAGTAGTAGAACTTATAATACAGAAAGTCAACTATACAGATACAACTTGACATAAGGTTGCAGGTCACATGATTATTATAGGTTTTTTTTTTCTCAAGGTCTCTTACCTGTTCACTCCTAAATAGAAAACTGTTCAATTTTGCTTGGGAACTTTGTGCTCAGGTAAATGCTCATAACGGTGCGCTCGCCCCTGTTTTCGCTGTAGATCACTGACCTTGACCATGCAGATCTCCTCAGCATCAACCACCTGGTCTCTCTCCTGTTCCTCACTCACTCTCTTAAAAAAGTCTTCGTATATCCATCTAGCCAACACATTGAAAAACATTTTCAATTTCTAATGCCAAAAAAAAAATGCTACTAAGCCATTTAGTTTTCACTCACAATAATTGAAACAGCCATTGGTGGATAGATGGTACAGAATATGGACAACTGTTAGCCTAATATAGCCTATGTTTGGTTGCTCATGATGATGGCATTTTCCATAACGTCACATTAAGCTGCCAAAATTTATGTTAAAGTTAGATGAGTACAATATCTCCTTTCTTTCCCATAGGTAAACATAGGAAATATTAAGCAATTGACAACCCACATGGAAAGAATTCATATAAACATATAGGTTTTAATATATGTTTTGATGTAGCTTTTGAATATATGTGACATTATAAAACTGGCTGTTTACTATATTATAGATACATATATGTACCTATAGTATAATATATATATTATAGAAAAAATATATAATATAGAAAAATGGTCAATAATATACGCATTCGGCCATATTCTGATTCAGGTTTGTAGTGTGGAGTGATTTTTGTGCCACCAACTGGAGCGTGCATTGATCAATCAGCAGGAGCACAACCTGCTCTGCAGTCATATGCAGCCCTCTCTCTGCATGCTCAACTCCGTCTCTGCCTGCACAAATCTCCCTGTTGTTGCTCAATTTGCAATTTACATAGCAATGTAGCCTCTCCGTCAGCCAATCAGACAGCTCTCCATTATGCAATCAAAGCATGTCCAGGAAATACTGCCAGGAAAATTGCACTTTTTTCAGATAAAGAGGACTTTATATAATTATATTTACTTAGGTTGATTAACCCTCCTCTTTTCCTGGGACATTTCCACGGTTCACTTCCTTTTACACATCAAGGGATCATTTATGTCTGACCAAACAGAAAAGAAACACTTTATATGTTGAAATTAAAAGTCCTCTTTAACTGAAAATAGTGCAATTTAACAGTTTTAGGAATGGGCAATGTGTCTTTTCTGGAAGTCAAATATGGTCACTCTAATCATGACACATGAATTACAACAAAGTATCTTGCAGGCAGTGGATGGTGACTGGTAGCTAACCAGCAGCAGAAAGCAGTTCAATTAGCTGTTAAATGGGTGTTTTTCTGTAAAGCAGTGTTTCCTGGACATGCTTTGATTGGATAAAACAGAACTGTCTGTGATTGACTGTTGAAGAGGCTACTTGTTGAGGAGAGCAGGGAGATTTGCATGCGCAGAGACAGAGTTGAGCCCACAGAGGGCTGTAGCTCCTGCACACAAGCGCAGAGCAGGTTCTGTTTGTGCAGACTCATTACTGTACGCTCAAGTTGGTGGCACTAAGTCACTCAATGAACTGGCTGGCTCGTTAATCACGTCACTTCAGGGGAGTTTTCCGACCATTTAACTATGGCGCGGCTTTTCATTATGGTTTGCGGCATGTAAACATGCTAGCGGAGTTAGCATTAGCATGTCGGTGCGGTAACATTTTCCTCTCTCGTCTGAACTATAACCTTGAAATATTAACGGAGTGCTGCTATTGCTGTCTTACCCTAATGTGATGTTGAGTGACTTACAAGAGCGCTGAGCAGGGTTTGCTCATCGATATAAAGGTTTTGCTGTATAACCCCTGCCCCTGACTTGTCAACAAAGCTGCCGGGCTTAAGGGGAGGAAGTCCTTTCTTGATACTTCCTGTGTGCGACGGTGTAGTTCTATATTCATTAATTATTATTTCTGTTTCAGACAAAAAAACAAAACTCATGTACCAACTACACGTGTCGTGATTGTGTTGAGCATGTAGATGTGAACAAATAAAAAAAAGTTAACTGAAAAAATAAAATAAACCAAAATGATAGGGGGGCTTGTGATTATTTTAGGGGGGCTGAAGCCCCCCTAAAACGGACCTAACGACGGCAGCGCCATCAGCTATGCTTCTGTCAAATAATGCAGAAAAACCACCATTAGACTGATTAATGACGTATCACTCTGACCTCAATGAGGAAACAATCAACCTTAGATTGGACAACAACCTAAACCCTGAAACAATTGAGAAACATGACTGCCTATTGTTTTCCATGTTGCCTTTTCAAACACCAGTGTTTTCCTGCGGCAATACTCCTGACTTGAATGAGTGATCAACTGGCATTTGAAGCCCTTGATGTGCTCCCGAGCAGGCAATACAAATGGTTGAATCAGGTGTGCTAAAGCAGAAACATGGAAAGCATGCAGGACAGGATCCTGAGGACTGAGATAACAACAGAAACACTAAAACCTGTCTGTTTCAGATGACAGACAAACACAAAAGGAATGAATATTAGAGTGATAAAGTATCATTTTTAGCATTGGAATGCTGTTTTTGCTGTTTCTAGTGAGTAAACTCATCACACTTTATTATACAACCCATTTGAAGAAGGGAGGCTGGGAGGACACTGTGGATGGCCTGTTGTTGAATTGTTTCTCAGTCTGACCTGACAGGACTGACTTATTTATTCTGAGGTGTGCCGGTTTGGTCAGGGTTTAAAAGGTGCTGCTTCTGCTCAGGAGCTCATTCTGGGAAACAAGGTTGAACCCACAAGCAGGTAAGTGTGTGAAGACCCTTAACTCTGGATGTTTTTGCAGGTTTAACAGCTAACATGACTCTCCTTTAGGTCAAAATGAGGATCCTTCTCACCTACTGTGGCCTTGTGTCGATGCTTCTGCTGAACGTCTCAGTGGTAAATATCTGAACATCTCTAGATTATTTCTGTTGTTAAAACGTGTTTTTACAGTGAATAAATGTCACATTTAAACTGTTTTCTTAACTTCTTCACAAATCAGGGAGCAGATATTCCTGAAGGTAAGAAACATGCTATAATTATCATTTTCAGTCGGATCAAATTTTTAATGTAATATATCAAAATCTACTTTGAACTTCCTCTGTTTTTTTTAACAGACTGCTCACAGATTAGAAAACAGTCACAACGAGCACGCAGCGGTGTTTATGACATCCAGCCTGCTGGAGCCAGTGCTCCCTTTAAGGTATTTAACTTAGAGGTTCATAACTTTTTACAGAGTCAGACTCAGTATCTCCAGGATTTTGCAGATCATTACTTGTTGCTCACAGAAAAACCTGTCAAATTTCTATTTCTGAGCAAAACATCACAACTTCCTGGAGGGACTCAAAAGGTATAAATATTTAGCCCCTTAACCAGGGGCGGATTTAGGACTGAAGAAGATCCGGGGCTTAACACACACGCGTGCACACACACACACACGTGACACGCACTAGTCAACATCATATATATTTGTCTTGCACCTCATAATTTTTAATCTGATGCTACATATTAAGCATTTTCAGGTCAGAGTATTGTTCCTGTTAGTGTTTAGTGTGAGATGATAGCAAATATTCCCTTTCTTTCTCCAACAACTTTAACTGATAAGCTAACTTTAGGCAAACCAGCAGCACAACAAATATTTTCAAATAAGACTCACAAACCTGAGTCAACACCCGTCTCATCAAAGCTGGGGTTCTGTCGCCGTACTTTTGGTCTAAAAACGTCCTTATGTCCATCTTCACTCATGCGTTTCAGAGAGTGTAGAAGAAACCAGGCACTGCAGAAGAAGCCAGCTGCTGAAGGGCTTCTTCTTCAGTGGTGGAGGCTCAGGCAGGCTGTATACAAACTACTGCCAGCTGCTCCCTCTCTGTTGGACTTTGGTACTGCATGTTACTTCCGCGATTTAGATCCGGGGCTTTTCATGAAACATCCGGGGCTTCAGCCCAAGTAGCCGGGCCTAACGCCGCCCCTGCCCTTAACTGTTTGAACAACCTCAGTTTGTAGAAACTAGTTTTCATCAAACAGATAACAAGTCACATTGAGACCAGTCACGATGTTAATAAAAACATATTCAAGTCCCCAAAAATGTCAGTTTACGCAAACACAGTTATATAACACCTAACCCAGCTTGCCTGCTGATGGTGGTTGGAGGGACCGGTAGTGCCTGTGTACTTCAGCCTGGTTTCTGTCAGTGTGCCCCGGCACAGATGGGACTACAATGTAGCTTAGCACCATCAGTGTGTGAATGAATGAATGAATGACTGAATTATAAAGAGCTTTGGAGTCGTCTAACTCAGAATTGAGCTACAAGTGCAGATCGTTTATCAAACTCTGTTCATGATCTTTCCACTTTACTGATTAAAGACCTCCCTTTACTTTAGTTACTAGTTTATAAAACAACACAACAATTGTTACTACAATAGTACATTTCCCCTTTGCTCGTCCTTTCAGGCGTACTGTGAGATGCGAGTAGATGGAGGCTGGACTGTGTTTCAGATGCGCACTGGAGCAAGCTTGTCTTTTGACAAAGACTGGGCAGCATATAAAACTGGATTTGGAAACCCAATGAGTACGTAAATAATACTCAAACCATCAAATGTTAAAATAATATTATTACCAATTCTGCTAACATTAGTAGTACTAGTACTTGCATAGTTGGATAGAAAGTAGAAGGAAATAAAATGAAGAATCTCTATTTAATTTTTGTCAGAGGACCACTGGCTCGGTCTGGAGAAGGTTTATCTTCTGACTAAGGGCACAACCAAGAGGTGGACACTTAGAGTGGACCTGTGGGACTTTGAAGGTGGCAATGCTTATGCTGAGTACAAGAACTTTAAACTTGGAAATGAGCAATCAGCCTACAAACTGAAGGTTGGGGAATACAGTGGAACCGCAGGTACTGGACATGATGTAGTTTTTAGAAATATCAACTGATGGAAGTCTTTGTGATAGCAGTAAACTAAATGGGTTCTATTTCTGAACAAAGGTGATGCCATCCGTGGCGCCTATCCAGGCATTGACCAAAACGGTTATGGCTTCAGTACCGTGGACCGGGACAATGACGGCTGCTCACCGTGCATCATGTTTGGAGACATTGCTATAATGGATTGTGTCTCTATAGACGGTGGTGGTTGGTGGTACAGCAAGTGTGGATCTGCTAGTTTAAATGGTGAATGGCATCCTAATGGTCAAAACATCGGATGGGCTTCCGGCCTCCACTGGCTGACGTGGAGAGGTCCAGATTCCTATTCAGCCAAGTCCACCAGAATGATGATCAAGTCTGAGTAATGACTTAGTTTGATATTGAATTGAGTTATTTCTTTTTGTTTGTTTTTAAAGCCAAGTACATCGTAGCACAGAATCAGAGGTGTTTTGAGGCTAAATTGTACTTTGTGAAGCACCAGCAAAAATAAAACTTTTGGAAATATCCTCAAGTTTATTGTGTTGGTCTAATGTGTCCAGTGTTCTAGCAATACTCAGACAAGCTGTAAAAGTTATTGATGTCTGTTATGTCCCCGACAGGAGATGTTAAAATGTGAAGGAGGGGGTAACATAAGAAATACGACAGTGGAGTTAAAATGGTTTTAATTGTTGTAAAAGGTTCTAAAAACAAGAGCAAACACATGGCAAGCATTAAGATGATGCAAAACAAAAAAACTCTCAAAAAGGTTAAAATTACACCAATTACCAACTATTAAAACACCTGGTTAAAACTTATATTAAAAGTTTTATCAAACAGAAGGTGTTTTTAAAATCCACAAGTTGATAAAAGTCTAAAACAATCTGACTTAAAACACCTGGTAAAAACTTATTGTAAAAGTTTTACCAACACAGAAAGTGTTTAAAACCAGAGTCAATAAAATTGCATCAAACCAAGTTAACCTTTTAATCAACAACATCAAAAGATCCCTCTGGATCTTCTAATGCTTCACCCTTTTAAAGCTCATAACTCTGAGTTAAAATCTTAAAGTTAACTCATCTCAAACTAAAAAGGGTTGAAAACAAACTGAGGCCTGGAGGACAGCAGAACCCCTGCACTGCTGCCTCCCAGACTGCTGAAGGCACAGCCTTTTTATCCCAGGTGTGGGTCCTCAACAGGATTCAGATCAGCTGTGCTCCTCAGCAGCCTGGAAGAGAGGAGGAGGAGGGGCGGTGTCAGGCTTGATCACCAGGGCTGGGTGATCCTGGCTCCTGCATCCCAATGGCGAGGCTGGCAGCCGTAACAATGTCAAACAGGCACCCAACAGATGATTAAAACTTACTTCAACATTTCAGGACATTAAACAAAGGATGAGTGTATTGTTAACGCTCTTTGGCGTTTCCTCCTGAAGCCAATACATCCCAATAAGAGGAGACTAGCTTCTTGCAATGTTTTATGGGTGAAACTCTTTAAATTTGAATATGGTGCAAAAGTCAATTTATTTCAGTAATCCAACTTAGACTGAGAGACCATTTAACCCTCTGGAGGCAGGCATTGCAGATTTGCTGCAGTTAAAACCTACCTACCTGGTTACTCCACATGTGACAGATTATAGGCTACAAAAAGGTATATGTTCAAGAGACCAGTTTATACTGTTAAAAAGGAGCCATACAATATTTTATAATTATTGTTGTCATGGTTGTTATTGCATAGAATAGAGAAATACAGTACTTAAGTATAAATACATGTTATTTTTGCCGTTTATCTCACAGAGTACTGGGCGCTCGATGATTGTGTGATCGATTACTTTTGGCTGGACAAAAAGCTGTATTTTGCGCCTGCGCAGAGAAGTTCCTGGGTTCTTTTGAATAAAACAAAATGGAGCATAGACATGTGCTGCGTCTCAGTTTCTTAGTTTAGCTCACAAGCAACCACTTACCTCTCTCAGATTACCAGCGGTGCCTCCAACATTTGGAGGCACCGCTGGGATATTCGGTCAGAGGAAATTATGCCAACTGTGAGTGAAAACTCGAACTGAATATCCCTCATCAAATCCAGGACAGAAGAGGTGTTGTCGACGTGCGCCGTGGCTCTGTGACCAGTTCAGCAGGTTGTATCTCTGGTACGCCATTTCCCCACCAAGGGGGGGCAGCACCGTACCACAAAGCTGATAGAAACCTACAGTGAACTGTTATATGCCGACTCTTCCAACGAAAATGAAGTCTGAGCGGGAAGAGTTACAACTAGAAATTAAAGGTGCTTTGTACCAACTTAACAACAACTGCTAAAAATATGCAGTGATCTACAAATGCTAGGACTGAAAAAATAACAACTGGCAGGCCAGCTAATCACGCTCATCATAAGTCAAGTGGAAAAAGCAGAGCTGGCTGAGCTGGAAGATGAGGAACTGTCCTATTTGCTCTGTATAAAGGACTTAATTGAAGGTACCAAGACAGAGCCAGACCTGGCAGGTGAAGGGGATAAAGAGAGAGACAGTCTGCAGGAAAAAGTAAAAACACTTCCGACCACACTTCAAGCTAAAGAGGAAGCTATGCATCAGCTTTTCGGTGGGAAATTGACCTTACAGAGCACACCAATGCAAAATTGGGCTGCTGCACCATCAGATTATTTCATGTGGCGCAAAGATTTTAAAATATCAGGTCAAATAGGGGAACCTGGACAGAAGGACAGACTCACATTTTCCAGTTTGGCCAGACAAATTGAAAATGGACTAAATAAAGGCTACCCTGAAGAGGAAATAATTGATGCGGTGATACGTGCCATCACACCAGGGCTGCAGCTAAGAAGTTACCTCGATGGCAAGCTTGATTTAACCCTCCCCGCCCTGCGGAGGATCCTTAGGTCTCATTACCAAGAGAGAGGAGCCACTGAACTATATAAGCAGCTTCCATCAGAAGTTCGGAATAGTAAGGAAACCCCACAAAACTTCCTCTTGAGAGTTATGGACCTTCGTCATAAGATACTCTTTGCATTACAAGAAGCTGATTCGAGTCTCAAATACAATCCTGCCTTGGTTCAAAGTTTATTTATGCACACCATCCTGACAGGCCTGCAGAGTGATAATGTGAAGAGTAACATGCAGCCCTACCTCCTCCAGACCACCATCTCAGATGAAGTTTTGTTGGAGAAAGTGAATATAGCATGTGCAAATGAAAAGGAACGACAATATAAGAGGAAACCTACTGTTTTTCCACGAGTGAACACAGTGAATGCTGTGTACCTCAGTGACATCACAGCTCAAGCGGAGAAAAAGGCTGCCCAAAAGCAAAGCGCAGCTACTCTGTCTCCTGATTTGCTGTCAGAGATTAAAGAGATGTGATCCGAGATGGTGCTCTTAAAAGACCTGCGAGCTGAGGTGTCACAAATCAGAGACACAATGCAGAAGTCCATGACGCAACCCACCAGCGGAGGGCCTGGGAACCACTACTCAACACCCACCTTTGCACCTCATCCTTCATATCAACCAGACTTATCCGCTCAACACTTCCACCCCCAAACAGCTCTTCAGGCTCCATACTACCCAGCACTCGGCCCTGCACCAATGGGAGGCACTGCCCAGTTCCAACAGCGTTTCGCCCCTCAACGTTACCACGTGCCTTGCCCCCAACCCAGGTGTTATGCTTCCATCCAAGCGGGTGAAGAATTTTGTCCACACTGTTTTAGATGTGGCAGCAGTGAGCATTTTCAGGCAAGTTGTAAAGCCCAGAGGTCAGTGAAATCAACTCGAGGTAGGCCTTTAAACTAGAAGGGGTCACTCCAAAGGGACATGGGGTGACCAGTGGCTCTGATAGGTCCCAGTGTTGTGATAATTGTACCTTAGAAAGCACAAATCAGAACTTAAAATGTTGCTCTGCATGCAAGAGTACCTTTTACTGTTCCAGAAGATGCCAGGAGGAGCACTGGGCCGTACACAAACTTAAATGTAAACCCTACACCTGTGGTAGAGTTCATCACAGGAGTAAGAGGATCTCCCAAAAATCAGTCAGAGCCAAACGGGGTAAAGAAAATAAAATACCAACTGTCAAGCAGTTAGTTGGGAGAAAGTGTCTTATTAAGTGCATTCTAGGTAACAAAAGGGTTGATGCACTTTGGGTCTCAGGTTCACAGGTTTGTGATATAGATGAGTTATGGAAAGACACTAACTTACCTGATGTACCAGTGAGAGATGTAAGCGAACTTATCAGCTCAATTGAACACCTTCAGATCGAAGCAGCCAATGGTACTGAGATGCCATATGTGGGTTGGATTGAGATACCATTCAAACTTCTAGCTAATGACTCTGAGTTATTGATACCTGTTTTAGTGCTTAAGGGTAACCAGCAGCAGTGCCCAATAATAGGGTTCAATGTTATCGAGCACTTGGTTTCAGAAAATACAAAAGATGGGAATTACTCAGGGGAAAAAGATAAACTTTTGAGTGCAGTGCCATTAGTTTTCCCACATCTGAAGAGAAAAAAAGCTGCAACGTTCATAAAAGCAGTTACTATGGGGCAAAATCTTGAGTATAACATAAACACAACAAACAAAGTGACTGTGCCCAGCCAGAGTTCAGCGCTTATTGAACGTAAGGTGCAGACTAAAGCATTTGAAGACAACATTGCTCTGATTTTTGAGCCTTGTGAAAACCCTCAGTGGCCAGATGGCCTAGACTTTTGTGAGACATTAGTCTCAGTGGGGGGGGTCCACCCTAAGACCTTTCTTAGTGCACAAAACCCTACCGGCCATGATATCTCATTGCCAGGGCGAACCCTTGACGGATCTGTGCAATCAGTGGGGTCTGTCTACCCTTCTGACATTTTCAATAGAGACATCCAGTTTAATGCAGTAAATAAGATTTTGGTTCAGAATACTACAGAATGCACCACCAGTGAACAATGGGACCCCCCTGTTGACTTATCTCATCTGGATGAAAATGAAAAAAATATTGTTCAGCAGATGTTAAGAGAGGAATGTGCATCATTTTCACTAACAGATGATGACATAGGATGTGTGGAGAGCTTGCAAATGGACATCTTATTAAAGGACACAGAGTCTGTTTCAAAAACATATCAGTCTGTACCTAAGCCCTTGTATAGGGAGATGAAGGACTACTTACATGACTTGATAGCACAGGGATGGGTGGAAATGTCTACGTTCTCCTATTCATTCCCTGTAGTCTGTGTGAGAAAAAAAGATGGTTTGTTGTGCTTATGCATTGATTATAGAGAGCTGAACCGTAAGACACACCCTGATCGGCACCCAATACCCCGAGTATAGGATGCAATGGACAACTTGGGGGTAACACCATCTTCTCCCTGCTGGACCAAGGCAAGGCGTATCACCAGGGGTTTATGTCCAAACATAGTAGACATCTAACTGCCTTCATGACCCCCTGGGGCCTGTACGAGTGGATTAGGATTCCCTTTGGCCTAATGAACACACCAGCTGCATTCCAGCGAAATATGGAGCAATGCCTGGAGGGTCTGCGGGACGAGATATGTGTTCCCTATCTTG